CATTTTAAGGCCGACTACGTCACAGCGACACGACAAAGGCTGTCCCAATACAAAGGCTGCTCGAAATGCGTCCTTCATTTCCCTGAATTTTAAGGATGTGGCAGTGTAGACTTCATGGCCCAACATATCCCAGAATGCATAGTAAACTTTTAACAGTAAGTACTGAATATGATGTCAGTTATTTATGTGCGAATGTTTAATAACGAAGAACATTAAAACATTAATGTTGGCCACATGTCGGCAAAGTTATGTGACATTAGTGATGTGTACGACTAACTTAGTTTTAAAGCCTTTACTTTAAAATATATATATATAGTCGACCTTAATCTGACAGAGATTGTGATGATTTTGTGGATAATTAAAGTCAGTCATATATCCACAAACACAACAAGCTGAAAGTCAGTGATGCTGCTCGGTTTGCAGTCCTGAACATCACGACACAAGCAGGATTCACTGCACTGTTAATGTGAGATATGTTATATTGCTGCCTCTGTTCGGTGGTGTCGAGCCAAACGCACTTTAACGTGTGTTTGAACGAGCTGACGGTTCACTCGTTAAGCTGAAAGAAAGATGCTTTAATCACAGCAGTCACACATGTGTCCACTGCACCATCTGGAACTCTTCTTGTTTACACTCGTAATAACACAAACACTAAATCCTGCTTCTCTGTGCTGTTGTGTAGCAGTGTGTACACCTGAGACTGTCACCTGTCTGTCTGTCCTGCACTCTCTCTCTGTTTCTTTCTCTCTGATTGTGGAATAAAAGTATGAACATGTGTTTATAAGTTACACTTGTGTTTGAATCCTGCAGCTTATCACACATTTGATTTCCATGTGTGACGACTGCAAGTGTCCAGAGTGAGGACAGACTGAGGGAGCCACTGCTGCACATCATCTGTGAGGCTTTGCACCCCTGATGATCCACCAGGACAAACTCAGCAGTGTGTGAGGAAGAGGAGGAGGAAGAGCCAGCAGCAGCTGACAGATGGAGAGAATAGACAGACTGTTCCCTGTTTGTGAAGGACTGCTAGGAAAGTTTAACATGACTGTCTGTGCTGAATCAGTCTTATTAGGTAATGTTCACATAATGTGATCATCCCAGTGTTTCCAGTGTGGGAGAAAGTACTCAGAGTACTCAGGGCCTTCAAGTTACACACTATGAAAGGCAGCAACAAGTTTAATGTTCAGAAACCTAAAGTCTGTATCAGCAGCAGAATGGAGCTAAAATAAATGTTGGTTTCAGTTCTATGAAGCTTTGAGTATTTTGGATCAGTAGCTGCTGTGTTTGTTGCATCATATTGCTGTAACTGTTTATATATGATCTATATGTAACGCGCGGCGACACTAAAGCGGTCGCGCCAGAATGTCACGCTAAAAAGAAAGATTCTTTAAAATACAAGGGGGAACAAGCGAGTCAGATACCACAGGCACAGAGAGGAAGCAGGTCGGATCAGAAACAGTTTATTACTGGGCCAGGGAGCACAAATAAAAACACCCTTAAAATGTACGTAATAAAATGTTGTCAATCTACTAAAACAATTCTAAAACCCGTAAAACTACCATTTTCTACATTCACTAAACAACAGTAGACAACAGTAGAGGCCCTGCTCACAAATGCAGGCAGAGGTAAACCTCTGCCCTGCTGCCAATCACAGCGTCGTCTCTTACTGTTGCCGTTCCATGAGGTCAGGACTGGGTCGCCGCGTCACGCTGGCCATCTCGCATTAACCTTCCAGTCTGGGGCCTCCCTCCTTCAGTGCTCAGCTAGCCTGTTTTTAAAAGGTCTTTACACAGCTGATAGGCCACCTCTGGACACACCCCTGCCTCAGCAGGTGGTCCCTATCAGCTAATTTGTCCCATGTGCAGCCAGTCCACAGTGGATAAAAACCATGTTACATAAAACACTAAAAACCATGCAATAGAAACAGAATAAAACCATGCAAATAAAACGACACTCATAAATAAACACTAAAAATCAGAATAAAAACAATATACAAGATAAATACAAATTTCCACTGTGTGACATATATGTTACATCATATTCTATAAGGATGTTATGTGTTTGTTTACTTCCTGCCCAGTTTGACCCATTTAGCAGACGTCAGCCTGTTTAAGGCTCTGATATCTATTCTGTATGACTTACAGCAGTTATGACATGGTCTGATTTTCTCACCCAATAAAGGAATATTTCATATATCAGTCTACTCTTCATTCTATCAGACACAGTTATCACAGCTCGTACATTTGCTTTTTACACATGTATGTAAGCACTGAGCCACATTTAGTAATGACAACAAATTAAACGAACAATATTTGTCTCTTATATATGATACATCTGTATACACACTGTCACAGATACTCGTCTTTGAGTGAAGATTTAAGGTGATAGGAAATATAAATAAATGCAACTTGAATCTTTACTGAGGCTCAGTATTTGACACAGAGTTCATGTTCACTGCTGTAATAACTAATAATGATTAATATAGTAACTTTAATATTGGCCATATTATATTTACATCACCACAGTGAGATGACTTTAGTCTCATGAACAACATCAGCTAATTGTTATTTACTAACTGATCTTAAAATGACTGTTCAGCACAGAAATGAAGCCCAACAATCATGTTTCACAGTCCTGTGGTCTCAGCCTCAGATACTCATCACATCACACAGAGCTCATGTAGAAACAAATGAACTAAATATGTTCTCCTTCATTTCTGTCAAACAAAGCTGTATGAAACGTTTCCAGCTGTTAGTATCATGGTTGCTAGGCAACCTGGGCGGCACGACGGAGGCCAGACCGTCACATTTCACGAGCCTACAAGCCTCGCACTTCCAGCCTCTTTGAGTGCGGCCCTTGAGGACCGGTAAGGCTGCAGACCCTGAATTGGGATACAGCCACTGATGCTCTTTGAAACCATCTGTCTTCTCTGTCCAAAATGTGAATGCTGGCATCCTCAAAGAGTGACCTTTGACCTTTAGATGCAGATGGACAGCTGAGGTGGGTCTTGCATATAGATGGCAGCATTTTTGTGTGTGTTTGTTTGTTATTGTCTGTCTGTGAAGAAACCCGATGCTGTGATCCTCGGGCTTTAATGTATCCAATTCTTCATCTAAGTGTTGACTTGTCTCCCTGCCCGTGAAACAGTAGCAACACTAGTGCAGCTGCAGTGTTTGTCATGGTTGCATTGCCTGCAGGGAATGTGCCAGGTATCTAGACCAGCCTGTTTGTGACACCTGATGGCTGGGTGTGGACCAACACGTTTACGTCAGTGCAGCTGCTCTTCCTGCTATGACTGTGTACACAGACAGCTGGCAGCAGGGAATACAAACCATAGAATGGGAGTGCTGGTGTACCAGTTTCTGTCATATGTACACAAGAAGTCATCTTGTGTGCTTGTGTTCAGCTAACAAAACCTCCAGATAAGCCAACGTGAATTTCATTTGAAATTCTGATTGAGTGGGCACAGCAGGTTTGATCAGGGATTTAAATGCCAGGGGCTGGGGGTTTGAATTTCATTTGAAATTCACGTTCACTTTGGGAAGTTGGAGCGCATGGAGGAAACCCACGCAGGCAAAGGAGGACATGCAAACTGCACACAGCAGATAACAAGGTTTGAACCAGGAAACGACCGGGTCCCTGTGCCAGCTACAAACCAAATCCATTATTTGATACCCAAGCAGCAGCTCACTTTATTTGTTCAATAAAGATGCCAAAGAAGGTGTGAGCAGCCTTGTAGGATAAGCTGACTCCCCATGGGCATGCAGTTCGATCAGTAGCCTGAAGTATGCACATCCTCCTCATGTTTCACATTCAAGAAGAGCTTGTAACACTGAGGTGATTTCTTTGAATAGCATTTCCTTTTTCAACCTGTGGATTAACATTGCAAGTCACACCTGAAGTCACACACGCCCTGTACACACGCATACATGAAGTATGCGTGTGTACAGGGAATCATGCTATTTACTTTTTGCTCCGACAGCTGAGGTGCAGCAGGGGGGAGCCTCCAATCAGGATAATTGCATTGACTGAGGAGCTGACTGAGTGGGCACAGCAGGCTTTTAATACCAGGGGGGTTAAGCTTTGTCTAAACTCCTCGTGGGATGGCTGAAGAATGCCTTTCCACTTTGGAATATCTGTATGGACTATTGTTAGTAATTCATCAGTGATGATAATAACTCATGGTCATTCACACCCAGAGGATCTGCTGCCAACCATCCCTAGCTGGGGCCTTCCTGGGTGGAGTCTGCATGGGTTCCTTCCCACAGTCCAAAGACATGCACAGTATATATGGTGAGTCCCTGGCTTCCATTCAGACGTGCTCGTATGTATTCACTGGTCTTGAAATCAGAGCCAGAATAATGGTGTTAAACAGGAATGAGTGTTTGGTATTTAGACAGCTATGTGGGTGTGTTTCACATTCCTGTGTGAAGCTTCGCTGCGTGAATTTCAGAGGCTGCCAACAGAATCGTAAAACACCGAGTCCATCCATCACAGCAAAAAGCACAAGTTTTATTAGGATTCAGTTCAACTCAGCTTTATTTATAGAGTACCAAATCACACGTGTGTGTTCAATCTGTAGTACTGTAAAGCTCAAAGATGGCACCACACCTCCGCTGTGTGCACATCGCATTGGTGTTTTCATGCAACTCATTTTACACAACTTCAGGAGAATTAAGTTTATAGATATCGAGCTGTACAGGGTGTGACAGCCGAGAAAGACTTCAGCAAACCATGAGCCTGATTTAAATAATTACAAGACAAAAAACAGAACATCATTAAATTAATATGGCATTAAATAAACATCTTAATATTCACTGAGGAGATGCAGACATGTGTTAGGGTTAGGCTAACAACATCAGCAGACTCCCGCGTCTGCATGGATACTACTGAGGTTAGTGGGGCTGGGTGAACTGGTGACCCGTCCAGGTGTACCCCGCTTCTGTGGCAGCTGGGACAGGCTCCCAGGGCACGATGAATAAAACAATGTTCTCAGGGAAACAATGCTAACGTTGCTCAATTTATTCATATTTTACAAAACAGTATGAAGCCATTGTAAAAACTTGTCTGAACTTAACAATCCAGAAACATCCAGCTGTGAGGAGCAAAGCCCGGTGAGAGTGACAGCGATATGCTCGGGCAGATTCAAACACAGGAAGTTCCTGTGGGTGCACAGAAGTGTTGCTCAGTCTGAGGCAGGGTGAAGATTTAGGTGATCGGGTGTAACACGGGCCGTCTGCACCAGTAACCGAACATCCTTCGACGTTAGTGCGTGCTTCAGTGAGTGTTTGCCAGCAGCGCGGTCACTCCCTCCGCAGAGCTCTGTGGTCCTCTGAGAGTTAAAGACAATGAGAAGCAGTTTCAAAGGTCCAAATGTCTCCAGGAACAGAGTCTACACTTGGTTGGAAACACTGCACCTGATCCACAGGACTGACCAGCTTCTTTCTGGTTTCCCACATTCACCAAGTTCCCCGAGTGTCACAGACACAAGTGCTCACAAATTGGCCTGCACCCCTTTATTTCCATCAGCTTTTCTTCTTGCTTTGTCGGAGCATCCTCTTCCTCTTCACAATCATCTCATAGAGTTTCTCCAGGCCAGGCTGCAGACCCTGACCATTCAGTGCTGAGCAGCCCTCCGTGTGGTGCAGGGTGGAGGAGCTCAGCTCGTGGAGGCCCAGCACCTTTTCCACCTTAAACGAGAAAAGTGAGGTTAGTCCCAACCGCGTCATAGGAAGCAATAAGCTACGAACTCTGAGTGTGAAAGTCGCTTTCAGAAGCAGGTCCTAAAGGATGACGTACGCATGTTTCTGCAGGAGTGATGAGGCTAAACAAAGCACACACCATTAACCGCACTATCCTCTAAACAAAAGGACAGACCAACAAAAACAACATTTTTTCACTTTACAGTTGTGCTGATGCTGCAGTTTACGGAGGTCACCCTGCAGCGACGGCACATCTGTCGCTTCATGTGTGACTCTGTGCTGTTGCCATCTCTGCTGGCTCAGGTGTAGGGCGAAGAAAATAATGTGTTCATCCACAAAACTGGAACTTCATGCACATGATGCACCCACATCATGCTGAACTCCTGCTACATGCAAACCTGTTGCTCCAGCCCACTCAGTGCCTCCCACAGCTACACTGTGTTTGTGCTGGCAGGGTAGCCTCAAATGTGCACATCCATGTATTCTTTTAATAACAAACATCACAATGTATGTGCGTCTGCCCTCTGAGGGCTCAGCGAGGCTGAAACACAAACTGTTATGACCCATGTCATCATTTTGTGAGCTGTTTTTGCTCCTCCAGCCTGAGAGTGGTGGTGTTCTTTTTCTCTCCTGTTTTTGCTAATGCAAGTTCCAGGTGGAGGCTGACGGCTGCAAGACTGAATGGGGCTGGCTATAAACTGGGACACATCAAGACTGGCATGGCCCTGCCTACTTCCTGCTTCCAAATACGTTTAACCCTGTACTTTGTATTAAGTTGTGTACTGTGTGTGGTGAGGTTCCTGTGGCTAGATGAGCTAGACTGGTTGTTTTTGTATATACTTTATAGACCTTTGTTGACTGACCTGGCAGCTGTAGGGTGTTTAGGTTAGAGACAGGTCGGAGGCTTTATCACTCCCACCCCGACATTTCCTTTCTCTAACCATAAATATAATATTCAGTTGTTGGCAGCGTTGGACGTTCCTATCTTTCTCGTGTTGCGCTCTGTAGGCTGGGCTAGAACAATACAAATACATAATCAGCTGCTGCTCCAGCACTGAGAAGTACTCGCCCACCCGGTGACTTCTGCCTTGGCCCGACACTGCCTACGGTCCCTGCTCGTCCCTGCTCTACTCTGCCACCTCTGTGAGCACAGCCGAGGACAGCGACACAGCTAACCAGCCTTTCACACAGAGCATTACTCTATGCACTTTAAAGGATTTTACTGACCTCACATCCAAAGCCAGCCTAAAATCACCAACCTACCTAACATGCTACGAAGGAAGTCCCCACGCAAACTGATGGGTGGAAGTGTACTGCAAGTGTAGAGTGACTATACCTCCAACCACAGCCACAGAGCTAAAAAAGAACAATAAGAAGTAGATGCTGTGCCCAGAGCAATAATGCCGGCCATTCATATTTGATAATTACCTCTGTAGATGACAGCGCTCCATCCAGGTCTTGTTTGTTTGCCAGAACCAGCACAGGAATCCCCTGGTTTTCAGCTGACCGGGTGATCCGGTGGAGCTCCACCTTGGCCTCCTCCATGCGCTCCATCTCCGCTGCGTCCACCACGAACACCAGCCCGTCCATCCTCCGAGTGTACGACTTCCAGAGGGGCCTCAGCTTTTCCTGACCACCAACGTCCCACACTTGGAAAGTTGTGGTGTTGGCTTTGGAGTGTCCGATTTGCACTTTAATCCTTTCCATGTTGAATCCCTTGGTGGGGCTGGTCTCAACAAACTCCCTCAGCTTGAGTCTGTAGAGCAGGGAGGTCTTCCCTGCAGAGTCCAAACCAATCACCACCACATGCAGTGACTGAAAGTTGGGGAGGAATGGGCTGTTAGGGGCCGTGCCTGTTAGCTGGTTCCCCATGTTTGTGCCCTGTGATGGAGTGGCCGCTCTTAATGAATAAAGCAGATCTGGTTATCTCCTCTGGCTTGTTACTATTCTGCTTTTTACTTGTGTCCAGGGTCAGCTTGCTTTCTGCATCCTTGGCAGCGAGAGTGTGTGTCAGGGGGCTCTGAAGGTGTTTGAAGAGTTTACTTGGTTGGAAAATACTTCACACCCTGGCCTCACTTCAAAGGTTACGGGGGAGGGCAGGCTGCCTGGCTGCAGTCACTGAGGACCTGAAGACAAAAGAACAGACAGATGAAAACTCGAGTCAGCGTTTAACAAACGGCCCTGCCTCCGTGAGCATCTTCAGCAACACCAGTGGAGTTTCTATTTCCAGTCTTTTCCAGCTGTGCCCAAAACAGAGCTGGAAAAACCAGGCTCGGGAAGGGAAACCGGAGGAATCCTGCACTACCTGTTCTGGTTTCTGCGCACTTAGTATCATGTCTCACAGTTGGCCCTCTGAAGCAGTGCTACAGACAAAGTAACGACAACAGAATCAAACAAACTATGTTTATATCAAAGCACAAACTAGTGTCAACTGTGACTTCCCCAATAAAAGCTCTTATTTACTTTGAAGACTCGCATATTCCACACAAAAAGGTCACAGTCACGCGCGCACACACAAGCCTTTGTCTCTAGAGAACGAGGAGGAGCCGGAATCCCAGAGGAGGACTAAGCCGACAGCCGCCGTGTGCGCTCCCGGCACACACGGCGGCTGTCGGCACAGCTCTCGGGTCAGCCAGCGCGCTTCTGCTGGTGGACAAAGATGAACATGTCTCACCTGCCGGTCTTTCCATGCCTGTTCCCGCAGTCAGCGCAGTCATCCTGGGACAAGTCCACCACACAGGGAATCCTCGTAGCTTCGTTTCAAAGGCGCTCCGCGAAGACGTGACCGGTTCGATCCTGAACCGGAGAAGAGTGAACGTGAGCGAGGAGCTCCGGAAACACCCCGCAATCCCGCTGCTGACGTATCAACGGAGGGAGGAGGAGCCTCCTCCTTTTCCCCCCTCCCTCTTCGGCTGTTGCTACTGCTCCTTTAGGAGTCGCTACAGCGGCTCATCCGCCCACAGCATCCTCTGTCACACCAGCCCCTGCACTGCACCCACGAGTCCTCTGTGGGGTCTTCCTGTCTTCCATCGTCAGTGTCCTCTGTCAGATAGAACTAAAATGCTTCTTCTGCCAGCTGAGTGAGTCGGGTGTCAGTGAACACTGAAGAATTGCTGGCTGTGATGATAAATTGACTGACTGTAGTAAAATGTCCTTGATGTAAGGGCGAGATGGACAGCAGTGTATGTGTTGTTGGTGTTAAAAGGGGCGTGATCAAACGAGGAAATGGGTTTTAAAAGGAAGTTGTACAGCTTTCGCAACTTGTGAAAATCATCTACATATAGATTTTTTTTTCTCCCATCCAGAGGAGGGGTGGGTGAGGGGGTGTTGACACTGGCACCAACTGATTATTTGTAGCACGTGCTTGCTGGAGCTTGAATCTGATGTGGGGAGAAAAAAAGCTGGGAAAGAGAAGGCGTCATGCATTCCTGCATTCTTGCTTTATTAAAGGTAGTGCCTGTGGGCTCGGCTGTCTTTGTTGAACACTCTTCTAAAGAAATCGTGGCTTATTAATTGTTCTTTGTTTTGTTTCATGCATGCATGAGCTCCTATCGTGATCACACATTCCTCATGTTGCATCTCTAGCGTATGGGTGTGGTTTTAATCCCTTTCAGGCCTGATGGAAACCTCTGGTGGCTCTGGCACCAGGGTGCCCCGCCCCGCCCTCTCCTCCCTGTGCCACAAGCAGCAGGCGCACCTCGCAAACGGAGGGCGCCCTTACTCCCAGCAAAGGGGCGATAAAAAACCGATCGGTGCCTGTGCCATTCCCAATACGCGCTGGCTGATGTCGGGGCAGCATGAGTACGAGCATTATTTTTGTTTGTTTTGTTTTTTTCTTTGCCGATGCCCGTGATGCCGCCCCCCCCCCCCCACCACGATGCCGCCCCGGGCAACCGCCCGTGTCGCCGTATCAAACACCGCTACTGCCTGTACTTTCCACTCCTAACAATAATAAACGGGCTTGTTACTTCTGCTTTAACCACTTTGTCGGGATTTATTATCTGACGTCACCACAAACCTTCAAACATTCTTTCATTAATCTTTATTTAACCAGCAAAAAAATCTCCATTGAGATTAGAAAACGTCTTTTACACGGATGTCCTGGCCACGATGAGAAGCAGCAAAGTGCAAAACAATGTACAAGTGCAAGAAAAACATCCAAGTGATTTGAGCCTAAGCAGTGAGGCGTGTCTGTGTAATAATCACCAGGAGATGTGGCATAAGAGAGATACCATGTGCCATAGTCAGGGATAAAAGTGGCCCCACTTTTTTCCCACAACACCAGAATGACTGCAGGTGCCATCAGATCTTGATCTTGATTGATTATATCAAGTGAAGCAGACATTCATATAAATTTACCTGATGATGCTGAGATTCATCGACTGAATTCCACCTTCATACCAACTATGCAGGCATAAGAAAATCCATTAGACCAAAGTTTGTATTCCCATTTTCTAATATTTTATTATTACATTAAATAGCACAAGGTTCAGCTAGCTTTGAACAAAAGCAGCTGGCAGAAACATCCTCCAAAGAGCTAGGTTTGACTTTCTTACTTTGAGCACATTTCAGAGCCTGTGCTTTTTGACTTTTACTCGAGTAAATAAGTTGAACCACTGCTTTAGCTTTTACTGGAGTGTGTTTTTTAACACTAGTACAGTCCACTTGACCACTTGAAAAATGTAAAATAAATAAATAAATCATGTTTTGCATAGTTGGATCTTAACGAGGTTCCAAGTAGAGCTTCAACATGCAACAAGAAGAAATGGGAGTGAGACAAAACATATTTTGAGAAATTTATCGAAAACAACGCTTAAACTGAAACCGGCTGTTTTACACTTGATCTAAGTGTAGCCTCGCTCTCTCACCGCGGTAAAGTGAGCCGTCATTTGTGAGCCGCGGTCAAACCAGCCGCCTCCTATCCGCCGCATAAATTTCCTTGCGCTTTTACACCAGTCTTTACGGTAGCGCCTTTTCGCTTTATGTGCCGATTGAAAGCCTATACCCGCGCACACGTGCGCGCGCGCGAACAGTCGCACGCACATGCGTGCACACAAATTACAATGAAACAGCCCGATACAGTCAATACAATTATGGAAATGTCAGAAATTCATTAAAAGTCATCCTGAGTAGTTGAGGTACAACTTTCAACACATTCCTCCTCAGGGACACCTACTGTACCTGTGTGCCAGGTTTCAGCCAGATTCACTGTAAAATTACTCAGAAATTAAAGGACATTTATATTCAATTCAATACAGTCAATACAATTATGGAAATTTCAAAAATTCATTAAAAGTCATCCTGAGTAGTTGAGGTCCAACTTTCAACACTTTCTTACTCTGGGCGTCCTACCGTACCTCTGGGCCAAGTTACATCTCAATTCAATGTAATCTTTATCAAAAATTGAAAGAACAATTATATGTCAATGCTGGATGTGTGTCCTTTCAAAGTGACACTAAATAACAGAACTCAGGCACATCAGGGAATAATCCAAAAGGCGGATTTATTAAACAAAAACAACATACAAAATATCTCTAACCCATACTACATAACCTAAAAAGAAACAAAGGGACACTTAGAAGCACAAGGAAACAATACTGAAAGGGCAAGAGACACAGTCCAAACATAATCCACAACTAAAATGCCAAAAGAACAAGTCATCCCACATAGCAGACGGGTCTTGCCTGGATCTGGTGTCAAGCCGGCACTGCTGGCTGACTTCTGGCATGGTAAGATGGCACTGTTTATGTGATGGCATGCCACATTTGGCCTGATTGGGTGAATGTGACATGTTGTATAGAGCACTTTGAGTAATATGGGTGAGTAAAAAAGTGCTGTATAAGAATCAGTCCATTCACTGTCTGAACAGAGTTTCGTCATGTTACTTTTGCACTATTATGTTCCAGCACATGTTGTTATTACATGGCTTACATGGCTAAGGTACACATTAGGCTGAAATCTGGGGCCAGAGCTGAAACTGTTCTGGGCCAGCACAGGGCCAGCAGTGTGTCTGCAACTGGCCTTGTGCTGGCGCATGTGTGGGCCACCTCTGGTAAACCAGATCTGGGCCACCATAGGGCCGTCATTCTTTGCGGTACGCAGGCCATGTGTAAGCACATCGTGTGGGACATATCCAGGCCATACCAATTTTGCTATGTGGGAGGAATTATGTAAAAATAGAAACATCATAAAAATGAAAATGAACATAAAGTAAAATGTACTGAAAAGAACATCAGTATGGCCATCATTATTTGCTTGGAAAGTCTAAAGTTCCATGGCTTTGAACAGCCAGAGAACGCAATGCCCAGCTTAGAATGACTAAAAGTAACTTCTTTTAACATTCTGTCATTCTGCCTCCATATCAAACATCCACTAAAAATAGTCATTTGAAAAAAAATATTCGCCACTTTTCATCAGTTTGGGTTCCTCTGTTTATAGCAATTTTTAGAAAAGAACCCAATACCTTTGTCACTATACAGTTGTACAGTGAGATACAGAGCATCTCCTACTCATTGCAAACATGCTGGGAGGGTGGCTCTATCCGCCTTAGTGCAGCTGCTGTACCATACTGTGATGCAGTAAGTTAGTAGGCTCTCAATGGGCGAGTGGTGGAAGGGTGAGCTGTAGTCCACAAAGAGCATTCTGGCGTAGCTCTGCCGCTGTTCTAGGTGACTCAGCACCGAGTGGAGGGTGATGGCATCTTCTGTGGATCTGTTTGCACGGTATGCAAACTGGTGGGGGTCGAATTCTGGGGGGAGGTAATCCTTGGTGTGCTGAAGGACTAGTCTCTCAAAGCATTTCATGATTACCGGTGTGAGGGCCACAGGGCAATAATAGTTCAGGCTGGTGATGGGAGACTTCTTTGGTACTGGGATGATTGTGGCTGATTTTAGACAGGATGGGATGGCTGCTTCATCCAGTGAGAGGTTGAAGCTTCTGGTGGAGATGAGGGTGAGCTGGTGGGCACATGCTCTTAGCACTTTACCACGTATTCCGTCTGGACCGGCCGCCTTCCTGGGGTTCACTGCTAGGAACACACATCTGACATCGTGCTCCGTTACAGTGAGTGGAGCGGTGCAGGAACCAGGTGAGGATGAGGATGGGAGCAGGGCTGAGGCAGATGAATGCTGCTGTTGTGGTGTTTCAAAGCGGGCGAAGAAGCTGTTTATTTCCTCTGCTAGCTGCACACTCAGGTTTTCTGTTTTCACAGTTCTGCCTCTGTGGTTTATGATGTCTATTATTCCATGCCATGTGTTGTTGCTGGACAGGTGGGACCCCTTTTCAGGTCAGCTCGAGCAGACCTGTACAGAGCTCTGTCAACAGACCTACAGGGAGTGCAGAATTATTAGGCAAGTTGTATTTTTGAGGAATAATTTTATTATTGAACAACAACCATGTTCTCAATGAACCCAGAAAACTCATTAATATCAAAGCTGAATGTTTTTGGAAGTAGTTTGTAGTTTGTTTTTAGTTTTAGCTATTTTAGGGGGATATCTGTGTGTGCAGGTGACTATTACTGTGCAGAATTATTAGGCAACTTAACAAAAAACAAATATATACCCATTTCAATTATTTCTTTTTACCAGTGAAACCAATATAACATCTCCACATTCACAAATATACATTTCTGACATTCAAAAACAAAACAAAAACAAATCAGCGACCAATATAGCCACCTTTCTTTGCAAGGACACTCAAAAGCCTGCCATCCATGGATT